TTTTCGTGAATCGGAATCGTCGGTTTTGCGGTAACGACAACACTCAACAATGAAATCGAACCCGTATCCGTAAACGGACTAATTGCTTGGATAATAATTATTCTCGGAACTGGCCTAGGGCTGGGAGAGAGAGAGAGAGAGAGACCGATGCAGGAGAAAGAGAGAAGGTTAAATTGTCGTTCGCTTATGTTCACCGGAGTTATCATCGACACGAGTTCTCGGACATTATTTAGTTGATCATTTGACCAATATCCCCCTTTTTTTCTTGAATTAAAACTGAAATGAACTGATATTGCTTTCCATTTTTCTCTTAGTTTTGGAATCGTATTTGCAATCAAAATATTAGATAACATTTGTAAGTAAGATACTTTGAACATTCAATTTTCTTCTTATTTTATATATATATAGATAACTCTGAGATATCTTATTATATATAAAACATATATTATTATACATAATAGATAACAGAATATAGCCTATTATTAGTCTATTCACAAACAAGTACAAATAGTAGAAATAAAATAGCGAAATAAAATGATAAGATAATGAAGCAGAAAAGAAAAACGATTTATCATCTCGGATAACTACACTTAACTATGATGAAACTACATGATGGCTATCCAGTCACTTTTCTCTTGTATGAATGTGTAACAAACATAACAGTAAATGCAAAAAGTATATTTCTTTTCTGACAAAATATATCTTTTCGCGAGTATATATATATATCGATCGATGGAAGAACACATTTCTAAAATTTTGATGTTATTTCTGTAATTTCCAGGGCTGTCACGGATCCGAGGGATGGTAGGAGAGTAGCCTTAAAAAAACTGCCGAACGTCTTTCAAAGTCTCGTGAGCAGCAAGCGAGTCTTCAGGGAACTGAAAATGCTTTGCTTCTTCAAACATGATAACGTGAGTAGTGTTATGTTTTAGTGAAACATCAAATATGTTTTTGACCGACAAATTGTAAAAAGATAGAAAAATGCCAACAGAAACAGAAGTATAGAAATAAAATAAATTTTTATTCTTATTTATTGCGCGCGTATTATTAATGTAATAATTATTTGCAAATATGTATAACAATCGCTTTTAAGTTTATTGAAAAATCGAATCCTTTTTTCCTTTTTCTCTTACGATAAATTAAAAATTGATCATTTTGGACTTAGCATTCAAGAATTTATTTTATATTTATGATAATTGTTACAAATGATAAAATATGATAACGAAACTTTATACACGCTTCGTAAGTAAATATATTGAGACAGATACCGCTTAGTATTGAATATTCTTGACGAACGTTCGAGATGGATCATATATAAATTGCACGGCGGATGTCTTGAAAATTTCCGCGTTTTATTTCCCCGAGGACGAGGTTGCGTTTGCGACCCATCCCGTCACAGTTTCCTGCCTGTTGGATACCACCTTTCATACGAAAAAAGCAGGATCAATCGCGTCCCCTTTTTCGTCTCGTCAAAGGACGAGGCACTCAATCTCCTTCTGTCTCTTTTGCAGGTCCTTTCCGCGCTGGATATCCTTCAGCCGCCGCATCTGGATTTCTTCCAAGAAATGTATCCTTTTCTAAACGCTCGTATTCGAGGTCACGCGGAAGATAAATCTCGGCACAGAGATTCCAAACACAGGTGAATTCTCCTCGAGGGTCAAGGTATTTTCTTTCTTTTTACAATCCTGCGGAATTCTCTCGCTGTTCTCGAGTGTCTGGACTGTGACGGATGCGATAATTTTCCGAATCCGATCCGAGTATAATTAACTCGTACGATTTTAATCTAAAGTTTTTGGATTGTCCTTAATCTCCGGTATTTGCGATGTCTCGACAGGACGCCATCGAAAGGTAGTCCTCTGCGGATTTTCCTGGATTCTCTTGCGGAAGAGCATCGTTCTCACGCAACGCTCGACCTCTCGAAACGAGCGTCTCGAACGACACGGAAACTTTTAATCGCTGGGCAATTAAAACTCGCGCAGATCACGAACGCGATTCTCTTCGAGTTCTCTTTCCGGGAAAGATTCTTAGGAGGGACGGAACTTTTCCAACTCGAATTATTGCTGTTCGACAAATCCTATTTTTCCGCGTTCGTATTTGAAGCTTTCTCTCATTTTTCTTTACTATTTTTTATGTATTTTTCCTCGATGAAATTTTAGAAAAATTAGAGAGGAAAGAGGAATTGTTTCTGCAACAAGCCTTTTTTTACTGAAAATATGTTATATGCTGCTAGAAAATTGCGTCTTGCGAAAAAAATCGTCCTACGGGAAAAACTAGTCCTTCTGAAGAAGGTATTACGAGATAATTTTCCGGTCGATAGCAAAGCAGGAAGTTATTTCAGTAGCCGGGACAAAGCTCTTACGGGTTTACCCGTCTCTTCGCGAGAGCACCATTCAACATGCTCGCATGATCAGGCGATCGATCGATCGATCGATCGATTAGTCTTTAAACGAACGGGATTTTTCGAGTTAATCTCGAGACGGCGAGAGCGATAAATCAGTTCTCTTACACGCGTGTTCTCCTTTTTTCCATTTTCCTTTCTCTTTTCCGGTAAGCCCCTGTTCGCGTTCTATCACAATCTCCCCCTTCCCCTCTCGTCGTAACTGTGTAGATCATTGTTAGCACAACTATGCTTTGCGATCATCCTTCTCTTTTCTTTTTTTTTTTATATATATTCTTTTTTTCCCCTTCGTGATTTCTTCTACTTTGATTTTTTGGGATCGCAATAAAATTTAAGGCATTTTGCGATAGTGATGCTATCTTTCGTAGATTTGAACTTAGACTTGTCGTCTGGAAAGAAAAAGTTAAGTTAAATATATAAATGAAGTAAATAAAAATTAATTGGTCAGTTGGTCAGCTAGTCGCTATAGAGGCGCACACAAGTACAATAATTAAATAAATAGATAAATCCATAAATAAACAAATGGATAGGTAACCGAGGCAATAAATGATACCATAAAATATAAATCCATCAATAAACAGGCAAACGAATGAATGTTTCGATAATAAACAAACTACGACAGACACGTGGATCGATAAATTTTTCGCAGCGGGAGTGGCATTAATTGCGCCGACAAATAAATAATCGGGACGCAAATTGCGCGGTCGCGGAAACCCCATCGATGGACCACCGCTGACTTTTTACCCCCTTTCCCTTGCCCCTCTTCTACGTTGTCCCCGCGATTTAATTCCGCGATTCCCGCCGCCGGCGATCGATTCTAATTTTGTCCACATGAAAAATTCAGTGCGGCGCCCCCGACGTCCAGAGTTCGGGGGAGGGGGTTGGCGTCGAATGCGACCGCCTAATTTCTAATTAAGGAGCGACTCTCGATTAGCTTGCGCAGCCACGAACACAGAAATCGCTGGCGACCACAGTGCCGATGGAACCGCGGGGCAGAGGAGGGTGAGGGAGACGAAAGGGATTACCGGTGATGTGGCCACCCCTCCCTGTAGCTAATATTGCATTTGCATCGCAATTGCGTCATTGTCCTGTCATCAATCTGCGTATCCCTTTACATCTTCCAAATAATGGGCGATGTAAAAGGATACGCAGATCCCATTTATATATTTCCCCACTCGCGCGTTTCTTTATATCCTTAAATTTTAATTACGTTTCGAACCTCGGGAAGGATGAAAACTTTAAACGACACACATCAATCGAATCGCATCCTCGTATTATGAAAAGTAAAAAAAAAAACCTTACGAAAAAAAAGAAAAGAGAGGACGAAGATATTCGAAAGGTGAAAATTGGCAACGAGTACACATTTTCCTCGTCTTCACATAATCACGACCGCAGCATCCTCCGTCGGGTTGTTTATTCATAGCGGTCATTACCGCTTTTCAATTGTTTATCGGGGCGACAGTTCCGGATCTGATCAGACAGGAGGCGGCGGTTTCCATCCGGGACGGACGGGCGGACGGCGAACATCATGAATACGCCATGGCGCGCGCCCGGGATGAGTTCGCTCGATGGTAATGACGTGTATTATTAATGCGCACGCCGCAGCGCGCCATTGATACGTCGATAGTGCGCCATTAGCAGCGGCTGCGGTCGCCGGCTGCACGCCACCCATGCACCCTCGCTTCGCCCATCGCCGTTTACAATGTCGCGTGTAACTGATAACTACCACTCCCTCGTAACGTCGCGGATTCAGTTACCCTCCCCCCCTCCCCCCTCCCCCCTCCTCTCTCCCGCGATAATTGCCTTGCTTTCCTCGTGCTTCTTCTTAATTTCCACGTAATCAACACAACGTTTCGCCCGCCTCTACTGGGGCTCGCTTCGTAATTTTAATTATCATCCGACCGTTCGATCATGTGACCATTCGACTAGACAAAGCGTAATATAATCGCACACGTTTACCACATTTACGATAATGAGGTACATTAAATTAATTGATGTCAATAATTCGTGTTGTTACAATGAGTGCGTATCAAATTGTAATGTCGAAATTTATCCACTGTTGTGTTACACAGAAAGCATGATTTTGATATAGGATCTAAAAATTTGGGCGGATACAAATCTAAAATAATTTTGTTGTCAAAATTATCATATAGGACATTTAAATATGATAATAATATCGTAAAAAGATTTTTATTTTTTCTAATAACTAATTTGAATGTTTTATATAATTATTTTGATGGCCTAACATAATTATTTGTCAATCAACATCCAGCAAAACTATCCTTTCGCGTACCAATACGCTTTATTATTATGAAATATCTTCTTACGACAGATCCTCCTTCTCTCACCAGTCATGAGCGCAATGCTTTAATCTTTCGTTATTCAGCCGCGCACGAAGGTAAACAGTAAACCCGATTGAATCTTGTCTCTCGTGAATAATGTATACTTTCGACAATTACACAGAAATCGCCTGAGGCGATCACAATCGATTCGATTTGCGGGAGAGACGCATAGGCGGTTGCATCCGTTGCGTCGATGCGAGGGGGCACAACGGGGAAGCGCAACGTGGGCTCGATTACGCGTTAACAACGCGTAATTATTTTTTTTTACGGCGTGCGCGTGGAGGAGGCGACGCGATACGAAAGAAGAGAAGGCCCGCATATTGGTGCCGGCGTTCTCGATCGCCGCCGTATCCGCCCGTATCGTATCGGGGAAAAACGATACGACTGGGAAAAAATGTCAGTCCCCACCGGGCTCGTTTCGTCGCGCACGTGCGTAACGAGCGTGTGGATTATCATTACGGCCGGATTAGATCGTTGGGTAAATCAAGCGGTATCGAAAATTTTTTCATTTTCGCTGACACCTAATTTTAAGCAGAAACGATAAATTTTATTTTGTTTTAAAACGTATGAAAACGCTTCGATTCGACATGAAAAGGACGATTTTGCTGAAGTCTGAAGATTACAGATTTGAAAATAATTTATCGAGCCAGTCAGAGAGATTGTAGAACGTTCAAATTGGTTGCTAGAACATTCAACATTTTCAACAGTGTTATCATCACACTTAAATATTCTATGTTAGTATTTGGGTAGTTCAACAATATTCAGCTTTGTATTTGCGTAAATTTTTATTTTAATAAAATCGTTTTTTTTCCTATGTATAATCGTCATAAAATACTTTTATTATTAAGAATAGAAAAAAAAGAAGAGCAAATCTCCTTAATGAGGAATCGACGAAAATCGATAGAGTTGATGATAGCGCGATTTTTCCTGATCTTACCTGCTCGCTCTCGCGGGAAAAGCTGAGCTTTTCCTCAGGTTCGTACCTGGCGGGGCTTTAATTGCACACGGGACCAGTTACGTCAAGCTCAAGTTTGACGGTTTGATCTAAGTTCTCGGTGGCCGCAAACTAATTTCGCTTCCCTCTCCTCGCGAAAGCTCTTTGTCTTCCGAGTCAACAAGTCCTTGAGAGGGATCTACTCTCCTAAAATACGTGAGGAAACTCTCCTTCATATATCTCTAGATTCGTATTTTCGCGCAATTATCGGCTTTAATAAGTAATCGATACGCATTTCTCGCGTACGCGAGAATCTACAGGATCCATCGTTTATTATTTTTTCAGACTCTATTATAGCATCCAGTCCCTTGGATATAATAAGTCTATTGTCCATTTTACCATTAACTATTTTTATTACTCTGTTTATTTCTATATTTATCTTTCGAGATATAATAAATTTATTATTATCTATCGCATGTTCAATGAATACCATAAATCTTTATCTCTAAACGCTATACACTTTTTTAGTATCAATATACTTCAATTCATTTTACTCGAAAAGGATAGGGAATTTATTATTGCTAATTATATAATATAAATTAATGTAAAAAATATATAATGAATTGACAATTTTTATCTTTAACTGATTACTGAATCATTATATTTAATAATCTCTGCAATATTATAAAAAATTATTTTGTATTGCAATTTGGATATTATTTTCTAAGTATAACAATTGATGTTGAAAGAATTAAACATTTCCATGAAGTATCTTTTGTATAAATAATTATTTTTGCACGCTATGATTTAAATACAATTGACCGATAAATTCTCTTTTTAGTTTTATTAGATGTAATATAACGATTCCGTGTGTTATTCCAACGATTAATATC